TGGGGTGGCGTGTTTTACAGCGCTTTGCCAACAGCGCCAACCCACTTCAGTCTAGAGGGAGGGGGGAATGAGGGCAAAACGGTACGCGGACGGAGGTCAGGGGGCGCGGCTGTGGTGGGTGTCAGGAAGGGCGAGACGGGCGCGGCCAGGGACAGGGTGGCCGGGGCCGCCCCGCTGGTGCTCGCGGAGAGGGAAGGGGGGCTGGTGGGCGGGTGGGGGCTGGGGCTCGCGTCCAAGGAGGAGCGGGACAGCCGGGAGGGGCGGTGGTTCCCTTGTTTCAGCCGCCGCCGCCCCCGCCGGCCCCTTTTTCCTCTCGAGGACGGCAACGAACCCCGACACCAATCATTGATGTGTAGACTAGATGCTGTACGGTTATGGTTTTTTTATTCGAGTGAAGGATAAATTATTCGAGTGAGACATACAGAAAACGTCAGTTGAGTGTCGAGGTGCCGACATGCATTCCAGGGTTGGTTATGCTTCAACAGCTTTTTTTGGGGGTAGTTTTCGAGCGTCCCACGGGGGAGCGGGGGATGGGGGGTGTAGAGGTGTTTTCCAGAACCCCGTTGACGTTGAAATGCTGTCCCCGGGCCTGAAGAAGGGCTATCGATTTTTTTTTCTGCTTCGCGACTTGAGCTGATGGTCTTGAAAGGACGTTTCGATGGGGCGTTCGAGTGGTGGGAAACATTTATTTGCGATTTTCTGCGAGAAGTCTCACCGCAGTGCCAAGCTGCTTTTTGCCTGGCCCGGTTTACGTGCTTGAATGTATCTGGTCTATGAGACGAGGTCAAATGAGCTCCAGACGAGATAATTTTTTCTTGCAGTCAAATTGATGTGCCTCGTAGAAGCTTGGGGTGGTTTCTAGGGCTGGCTATGCAGAGATGCTTGGGGTGCACTCCAGCACCGGGGTCGGGGGGGGGGGGGGGGGCGATACCTTGATTTTGCCGCGAAACCGGGGATATGGCAATTTTGTCCCCGGGTGTCCATTTTTTTTTGCAACGTTCCTTGTCATAGAAAATACCTACCCACAAAAGGGCACGTTGTGGGAGTGTAAGGTGAATATGAAACAAGGGAAATGGCCTTGGGGTCCCCGCGGAGAATTCTTACCGTAGCGGCCAGGTCAGGTATGCCTGTTTGAACGGGCATTACATCACCTACTACGCAACGTTTTTTGTCCTAATTTCTTTTCAGGGAGTCGATATATGACCAGAATAATGGACCAACTATGCCTTAATCTCTTAGTTCTGGCTCTTTTCATGTGCGCAGCACCGCCGTACGGTCAAAAACGGGGTAAAATCCGTCCCTGATTTCAGCCGGGAAACCCGGGGATGTGAGGATTTTGTCCCGGGGCGTGGATTTATTCCATTTTTTTTCTTCTTCACAATGGATACACGCTGCAGCAACAGACGCACGTACACAATAAATCAGATCATGAAACGCTTCAGAAAGCACGAACTCAGCCACAAAGCTAAAGTGTTCCTAATTGGGGGGGGGTGTTTTCCACCATGTTTCGTTAAACACTGAGGTGCACTGCATCATCAGCTCTATCTCATCTGCCCTTACGTCTTTTTTTTATTCAGAGGTAGCCTACAATGAATGTACCCTATCGTCCGATACTTAAAAACACTTGAAATTCATTCTCACACCCGAGAACGAGTTGTTGGCGCGAGAGGTGGCTTAAGCATTCCTTAATTGGCCGGTTTACTCTGTTTATGCACGGTCGGGTCCGACTTGCACGCTCTTGCTGACGTTGCTCCGCCTGGGCGTTCCGCCACTGACGCCCTCCGGTGCACTCGGCGAAGGACGTACGTGTGGCTTGCCAACCCTCACCCTCCTTCCCCGCTTCGCTTGTGGAAACTGAGGAGGGTTGTCGCTTCCCCCAACCCCGCGGGCAAGTGAGGCTGACCCCTTGCGGCCCGTACGTCCACCTCCTACATATACCATCCCTGCCCACTTTTGAGCGAAAGACAACACGTAGGTCTACATTTATGGCGGCAACCAAGTGTATCTCGGGAACCATATGTTGGTTTCGGCCGAATAACGACAGTCGGTGGGCGTGGGAACACCGCAAAATTGTTTTTGTGCCCATAGGATGTGCTCTCGGAGAGGTTCGCGCGGTGTCGAAATTTGCCATATTTACGACACCGGCGAGCGGGATTGTGCTGCGGCCACATTCTTGGGTGTATCTCGGGAAGCCCACGTTGGTTTCGGACAAACAACGGCTTGCACAACAGCTGGTGGGCGTCGGAACGCAGCAAAATTAGTTTCGTGCCTTTTGGAGGTGCATTTGGAACGTTTCGCGCAGTGTCGTGGTAAATGGTCAAAATCCAATTGACGACATCGCCGAGCGAGGTGGTGCTGCGGCCACATTCTTGGGCGTATCTCGGGAACCACATATAGGTCTATAGATCTATATATAGACTATATATAGTCTATATTTATTTTTTTCGTCTTCCGACAATTGCAGATGTACCTCAGAAAACTTTCATTTGATGTCTCATACTCTACATGAATATGAAACCAATACGAAGTACAACAACATACGTAGGACTTATTTCTACTTTCACATCGTAAAAATATCTCCTCTTTAATTTGAAACACAACCAATGACAATCCTCACGGTATCCTACATACATGCAATGCGTTCGAAAGCTTGCTAAAATACTACTGCGTTGATGTCCTCTTGTAAAATCTAACAAATGCTTTGATCCATGCTACATCTCCGTGTTGGAAAAGCCCTTTCTTCTCCGTTCATGATAACATCTTACCCTATTCTACGCAAATCTGTCACATCTACTCTCAAACAAGACGCCAACTTCAAACGAAAACGCGTTCTACGATGCGTCTACATTTTAGTTTCGGCCAAATGACAGCCTGTGTGACAGCTGGTGGGCCCGGGGAACACAGCGCAATTAGTTTCGTGCCTATTGGAGGTGTTCTGTGAAAGTTTCGCGCGGTGTAATCTCGTGTATGACACACCGCCGAGAAGGTGGTGCCGAAACATCACTTGTCAACCACGACAGACACCGAACCAACACCCCTCATAGACTTGTATCAAAGTTGGGACGTCGCACTTTGGGCCATAACTCGGTATCTACCAGCCGAAATTTATGGCACGAACGAGGGCTTGTTGTGCGACAGCTAAAGCGCTGTAGGAACACAAATGTGGTATCGACGCATATCGTACGGTGTCGTTAAATGACGACACCGGTGTCGTAAATAGCATTGTACCGTAGATTTTCGTCTGTCTCTCATGATAGCACGCTGTAGCGCCTGTATAGCGCGGCCACCCTAGGCTATTTAGGTGAATGAACCAGGGGTGTACCAAGGATTGAACATCGTTTGCGTTGTACTTCAAAGTAGTATTTTCGAAGACCGAAGCTGGCACTCACTCCAAGTTCGGGAAAGAGGTCATTCGCCGCTGCCAAGACAAAAAAAAAGGGACCATTGTTACATTAAAAACTGTAGCCTACGTCATGTGGAAGGGTTTATACGTGCTGAGAATGCCGGCTTTCATGCCAATGGTACGAAAGACGAAGCGTTGAGCTTCCATCAGGTATTCGTGCAAAGTTCCCTGGATTTCCCCACGGAAACCGTGGAAACCGCCGTGGAATATTCCATGAATATGATGGAACTCATAGCGTCCAATATGGAGCCGCATGCCCCATTTTATCGGCACTCCGTGCAGCTCCATAGCTCACTCTCCATGAGGTTCAATGGCGTTGACATTCAGCACCACGGCAGCCATGGAACTCGACAGAAACATTCTGGAGTTCCGCGGCCTCTAACAAAACATGTGAATGAATTTCCGGTTACTCACAGGCGTCGGGTTCATATTTTCACATGGCTTAGGACGCCACACAATTCTTCTACCGACGGGCGATGCGATGCCTGCTTCGCTGCTTGGGCCTCTAGCATCGACCAAGGAGGTTGCCATATCGCAGGAACAAGGCACTTGGCTGCAGAGAATACCGCCGAAGAAACGAGGAAACCCACAAAACTGCCGATCAATACCTTTCGCATCAAACTTGCATGACGGGCGAACGGTCATGTGTTCTACCTACCGCGCTCGAACGTCTAATAGAGCAACCTTACCTCGGAGCAACCGGAGAACGCCCAACTCCAAGAGAAACCCCAATCAATAGTGGAAAAAATCCTGCAAAACTTGTGAAGAGAATGAAATCTGCACCCGGAACCGGCAATACGCACAGAGAACACTAGCTGGAAGAGGAGAGGGCCCTCTGGAAACGCCGTTGTTACCAAAAACAAATCCTTTATGGTTACAAGACATACCCGGCACTCAAATAATGCCTAGCGAAAGAAAGCCACGATTGCGAACAATATTAATATGTTGCGAGCTAGATATAACATCAGACTGAATGCCAAAAGAACTGATCAATCGGCCCCTAGCCGCATATCTCAAGCGTTGTGCGGCCAATTCTCCACTCAGATATTCATGAATCTGGAGAAAGAGTGACGAAGAAGCACACCTCAAAACGGACGCAAATGAAAGAAACGTCCGAATGAGAAAACATACACGCCCGCAGAAGCACAGTGACAAGAAGCTAGACGCGCTTGTCTATCAGTCACTCTCACAGTCAGGCGTAAATAGGAAGAAATGCCTGAGAGAACGCGCGGTGGCTATCAGCGAGGGTGTCAGGCCTAATGTCCCTCAGTGATACGCGTTCGTTCCCAAGACCCCCTTCTCCGACGACACTGTTCCATGAACTTTTGTTAGCATCCAGACGACAGATTTTGCTACGCACATCGAGCGCGAAGCTCGGTTCGTGTTAGCTTCAATCGCCTTGGGCCGGTGTATCCGCCACTCATTCAAGGTGTCACGAAGATGAGCACCTGGTGTGAAGGTGAGCAGCGAAATACAGTACCGCACAAAGAGACAGGGACAGACGAAAGGGAGAAGGGACGAGCGATTTGCCCGGACAAATGTTCGAAGCACGTACAGCAGTATGTGTGAGCACGGCGCGATAGACTCGCTCGCTCCGAAAGGCGAACTGGTTGCGAAACGGATATAACTGGACAAACAATACAAGCCTTGCAAGTCCAACCTTTTCCTTGGCTGCCCAAGTGTTTGTCCTGCTCGATAGGGTTTGTGTCCAATATTGACCTGGTGGGTATACAACTACCTTGCTCTGTCTACGTATGTCTCATAACAACATAAGCACACCAAACATGATCCCCTCGTCATCACCGGTCAGCAAATTTCCCAGGCCCCCGCAACAAGCAATCGTGGACACACCGCTCACCTCGATGAGACTGATCCATTCGTCCGAGAGGAGAGCGACGGACTCGAGCATCACAGTACTGACGTCAGTAGCCGTCACACCGAGCATGTTGAAGGTGGCATCGGTGTAGGACTCGTGAGTGTGGGTCATCTCGCCGTTGATGTGGACCTGTGTGGGGAAGGTTTGCGCGGTAAGGAAGATGAAACTCTTGCTTCGGGCGCCGCCTATAGAAAGCGCCCACGGAAGCCGCTTGGGATGGGAGGGCGTCCGACGTATGGGCACGATGGCCCGCTTCCGGCGGCGCATGCGCATTCGCGATTGAACTCAGTCGCTAGGAGCGGTCAACACCTCCATGCTGTGCATTAAGACGTGTCGAAATGCCGTCCTCACGGTGGCGTACAGTCGCGAAAGTGTTGTCGAGGGCAACACAGTGACCAAAAAAGACGGCTTGTATTTCGATAGTCTTCAGCCTGCTGGGTGTCGCCCTCACCTCTAGGGTACGGGTGCGCTCGTTGCCCTTCCAGAAGGCAACCTGGATGTCCATAATGGTCTGGGGTTCGGCAAAGGTGAACTCAATCTGGCACGGCCCTTCGTCATCCACGAGCTTCGTGGCGCACGACCACCTCGACTCGATCTCGGAGAAGATGCCATCACGGGTGTTGGTCGCCGTGCAGCCAAGACCACCGACCTCTCCGCACCCGACGTCGCCGCTGCTCCTGCCGGCCCGCACGTCGTGGGCGGTAGCTGATACGCCAACCTCGGTCTTGGTGCCCACCTCAACAGCACCGTCGACCGTCGGCAGGGCCTCTGTCTCTTCCCAGGGGACGAATTCGTACGACATTGGCTCGTCATCGGTGCTATAGTCATCGCTCCCAGTACTTTCTTCGCCGAAGCAGGAGGCGTTCGGGTCTTGGCAGTCGAAGGAGCCGTACTCGCTGCTGCATAAGTAGTCGTCATCATACGGGCTCTGGCATGTGCAAGAGCAGCAGTCGCCGCCGTCGTAGCCTAAGAGATAGCCACAGAGGGAAACGAGGACGCTATGAGCGCTCGAACATCACAGCTAACAACATATTCGCCTGATTGAGAGCGAAGTATCTGATTGAGAGCGAGAGCCAAAAAAATTGAAATTTCGGGTCCAGACGCCTCTTGCCATTTCTTGGCAAGTAGGGGACGGGCTATTCCAAGAAGCGGTGCAAATTGAAGGTCTCATCAGCAGCTTCGCGAGCATATGCGTGTCATCGTCATCGGATGCTGCAGCGAGGAGCTAGACAAGTTGCTAGATTTGCCCAGATTGGCTATTTCTGCTCAAACTGTTTCAGGGCGGTATCGCGTCGGGCGGTGGGCTCTGCTGTAGCTTCTGCTCCCCGCTGTAGCTCCACAGCGAGAGACTCCCACAGGATGACCAGGGTAGCGGCTTGAAGCTACGGGCTAGCCCTTCAATTCAAGCTACACAGCAAGCTCCACCTCTCAGTGGTAGTCCGGCTACAGCGTATCGCGCACTCTCGCTCTCAATCAGATGCTACGCTCTCAATCAGGCGAATATGTTGTTAGCTGTTCTTGCTCCACGTCAGGCCGACCAAGGAAAGGGTTTTATGACCAACAACGAAAAAAGGCAACAGAGACACGAACGCCACCAGAATCGCAACAAGTTACCAAGCCCTCGGAGCCGTCAATTAAGAGTTAATCCAACGGTGAACCAGATTTCAACACATGAGCGTAAGAGAAAAACGGTTATTGCTGGAGAGGAGAAAACCAAAAAATTACCAGTGCAAAGTGCAAGACAGGACAACACGCTCGTGTTTTGGTCGCTGGGCCCATGTGGTGTGCATATTGTCACTTGACTACATATTCGATAGCAACCCATGGCAAGCACAGGAGAGGAGCAGTCCGCCTACCGTTGTGTCACAACAAGAGCGCCTTCTACAGGAAGTACAAACTGGGAGAAGAAGCGTTGCGAAAAATTTTCACTACCGTACGCTGCTTGACAACGACGCGAGAAACAAGAGAGAGGGCACTAGGCAAACCCCAACCCTGACAAGATTGGTACGTCGGGAGCAGCGCAGAGGGCCCGAAATCGAAGAAGGCGGAGCCAAGGGGGAGACGACCCCAGAAACAATGCGGGCGTTCCTCCTCAGTCAGCCCGAATGATCGGGCTCTCGCTGACGGACTGCGCGCGTACAATGGGTTTTATGATGGGTCTACAACGACGCCAGGTGTTATGGTACCGTGCTAACGTCGTCGAGGTAAGGAACGAAATAGCAAGCTGCAATGTATTTACGGCCCAATACAGCTAAAAAGATACATCGAGCTTAGTCGAGTTCAAACTACAGTTTGGGTTCAGGAAATGTGGCGGACATAGCACCAGGGGACAATGCGGTGCAGTGCGCTCTGTCGCCAATCCCCGGCACAGCTTGTTCATTGAATCATAGTTTCTTCGCATTTTCAAGCCAAAAAGGCTCCAACCCGCCGGGCAAACCAGACGGACCTGCTGCATGTCTGGTGAGCCAAGCCTATACCGACCTCCGTTCCCGACAGGTGCATGTTTTATCACACGGTTGTGCGGGAACGATATCCTGTGCCGTTTCAGGAAGCATGATTTCAAGGGGTTACGTGACTCACCGCATTCCTCCTTGTTGTTGTTTCTGTCGCACCAGCCGTTGCCTATGCCGGAGACGTAGCCACAGTTCTCGAACATGTCGACAGTAATGTCGTCATCGCTTACACAGGCCGCGTTGGGATCGATGCAAGAAAACTCCCTGCAGTGGTAGTCCCAATCATCATCCCAATCATAAGGAGATTCATACTGAAGGGCGGCAGGCGGGTACAAGGGAGCAGAGAACAAGTACAAATAATCAGGGATGACCCAGCACGGAGTCTTGGGGACAACAAGTACGGGGGATGTTGGCCAACATGTCGAACAGGCGATTCAGGAGCGCGGGTGTTTTTCTATTCAGATTGGACCCAACGCCAATCGAAACCTTCGCGTCAAACTACCTCGCAGCACCAACAGATAGCAGGCGTTTGCCAAGACTACGAGACAAGAGGTTGGTAGTACTTCTACACAAGAGGGACCCATGCGGATTCCAAATGGTTTGCTCATAGGCATATACATTTGCAGCAAACCAGACACGGATGGAAAAAACCGCTCGTGGAGAGACAAGTGTCCCAAATAGGAAGCCATCCGCGGCGGCGGGTTGGTCCACGGGCCGATGGAAGTAGGAGAAGATAACAAGCTTTAAGTACATTTCTTTGACGGCCCGTTGATCCAAGTATTGGTGAGAACCCATACCCTTCGCGTACTTTACCTCGCACGTGCACTCGCAGCAGTCGCCTCCATCGTAGCCTGCAGAATCAGGGTGGGAAGGGCGAAGACAACGACGACGACGACAACACAGCATGAAATGGAGGCATAAACAGTGCGTCAATCGTAGTGCCACGCCTGACGAATATACGAGCCCTGAGTTCATCCCGATGTTTGGAAAGCACAAATTTTCAACGAAGGCAGGTGTACAGCAATTGGTCCTTCCAGCCATCGGGAAAAAGAGTTCATACATGATGTCCCGACTCGGTTGCCCCACAGCTGAAAGAGTGAAGTAATGGGGCCCAAAGGGTGACGTCGGAAAATGGCAGCGTTAGAAACGTCTCGTGAACGGCTTGACGAAAAACCGAATCGTACACTTTGTACACCATCTTCGTCAAGTCCGTCCAGCGAGAATGACATCTTGTGTCACCTGTCGTGAGCGTGCATCTATGGTGCTGGTAATGGTGTCAGAGAAATTGCCACACATGCCAACCTTTCGGCGAGACCCCTTTACCCCACGGCTTATACTTGTTATCACCCCCACGCCCTGGAATCTGGGTGCTCAGGGGTTGGACACTGAAATGGACGAGCAGCCGGCAAAGAAGGTTTCCCCGGCATAAGGGGGGTTTGTGGAGATTCTCTGTCGAGAGCAAAAGGCGTACGCTGCTTTGCACCATGTGGATGTGTGACCCGCTGCGTGTTTGGCTCTAAGGCAATCAATCCTAAGGCCTCTACGACGAACAACAAGGCATCGGGCTGCGCATGGTGGGACAGCAACCTACCGCAAGCCTCGTTGTTGTTTCCTTTGTCACACCAGCCGTCTCCTACGGACAACGGGTAGTCGCAGTTCTCGATCATGTCGACGGTGATGTCATCGTCGTCAACGCAGGCTGCCTCTGGATCAATACAGGCGAACCGCGTGCAACTCCAGTCGTCGTCGTAGATATTCTGGCGGAGGGCGAGCGGCAAATGGAGGGATATCCTTGTTTCGACGGTTTCAAGAGAAACGAAAGGGGCAGTGGCTGGGGAGACGCCCCAACCCAGAAAATGGCATTTTTGTCCCAGCAAGCTGTGATAGTGCCAAACACAATTCCAACAGAATCAGGCTCAGTATTTAACCAGGCTCCACGCGAAGGTGTGATATCGCGGCCAACCCCCGACGGCAGGAAAAAAGGCAGAGGCACGTAGCAGTTTCGTCGAGACCGTTGTGGTGGTGCAATGGGCAAAAACACTTCTCGGCTAGTCGGGAACGTCCAACGGTTGCAGATGAAAAAGAGCGCTTGCCCAACGTGTTTCGCTTTAGGCCGCTACCTTCTATTACGGCCGCGCCCCCCACATGTCAGCAAATACAGCGCAAAAACATGCAGTTTGCACTACAGTCGTGTGCTGCGAGGATATGGCCCAAGCAGTAGCGAACTTGTGTGATATGCTTGGTGTCGTCAGACTTTCGTCAAAAAATTTGACGTAAAACCTTGCAAAAACAATACCGAGCCCGCGGTGGGCTGCCTTTCGTAAACCAAAGCTTCCGATGAAATAACATTCTACCAAATTGACGTCGGCGTCTTCGAAGGGAAAGCACGGGCACAGGGAAAAGAAATCCACCTACCGAAGAGATACAACAAATGATCTTGGCGCCCGAGGACAACGGTCACAAAGGGGGAAGGACTTAGTTAGCCCTCGTATGAGTGGTCCCTACCTCACAAGTGCAAGAACAGCAGTCGCCCCCGTCGTAGGCTGCGGAAATTGGGAAACACGAAAGTGGCAGGACAGGGAAGAGAGAGACATGGCGGTCCGCTTGTGTTGGTTGTAGCCTAAACCACGTGTGTATTCGTGAGAAATTGAGGGAGCGAGATCATAGTCGCGAAGGGAGACACGCAGGAGAAGGATCATGTGGTGAAGAGGCACGACATACTAGACAGCGGTTCTGACGCAATATAGACTTCATTCCCCACTACTGACGGAGACGAGTGCGTCTTAGGGCGGCAACGACAAAGATGCTTGCTCAGGCGACATTTGCGGCAAGTACGCGCGTGTGTGTGTGTTTTCGTCCTATTTATTATGGCGACAGTCCCCCCATTTTTCGTGGTGAGACGTGTACTAGTAGTCTACTCTTTCAGCCAATGTAGAGTACTACACTCTTCGTATTCATTTTCGTACAACTACAACCATCCAGGCTCACACAGGAGGGGGTCAACACCAGGGCATTTTTCTTCTTTCCATTTCTTTTCATGCCCCACTTCCCCCTGCGGTGCGTGCTGAATTTTATTTTTATCGCGACAAGGGTCCAGTCGTACCTTGCCCTCGTCAACGGTGCTTACGTCGAAGTTTGGTACTCACGAGAGCTTGTCAGCTATATTTCGCTTTCACTCGCACATTTCGTAAATTGTTCACCCCGTGGGAATTCGAACTCACGACCTCTGCAACTCGTACCCCAGGACAATCACAGAACCTCCTGAACGACCTTCTTCCTATGTGACCCCTTGCTAGTAAGTCAAACAAAAATGAACCAAGACGTTCGTACTGTGGCCGCGCCAGAGGAAATGGGACGAACACAAACACGCGCACCATGATCTCGCCGCAACAGCTACCAAGATAACCAATCAACGGAGATTGCGACCTTGATGGACCTTGGAGCTTATTTGAGCGCTAGCATCTGTTGGCAACAGCTGGTCCAGAGGTCGTCGGATGTCTAAGTCGACACACCATCTTCATCGCAACCAATCCCTATTTCAGCTTGCTTCCAACAAAGTCATTATTGTTCACCAGTACGGTACGGGAAAGCGAGATTCTCGGGCAAAGACCTACCGCATTCGGGCGTGTTGAGATTTTCACTGCAGTATCCGTCGCCGATGCCTGTCGACCAGCTGCAGTTTTCGATCATGTCTACGGTTACGCTGTCATCGTCCACACAGGGAGCGTTCGGGTC